ATGTTTTCAGAATCATTGCCTACTTGAGAATGCCTTTTGTTTATCATGGCCAGCAAACATGCAAGACAGTCCAGCTAGGTATAAAATTCTTGGGTCACAAACTTTTTCCTCTTCAAGACCCATAGACATTGTGCATAGTCATCATGCCAACTTCTCCTTCTTGATTTTTAGTCTGTATGCATTTTTTCCTCATCTTGGTATTTATATGTTTTTGCAAAGATATGTCTAGATGTTAGTGTCTTTTCCTTGATGAAAAACAAATTAATGAGCCCTTTTCTTGTGCATGTGTAGGTCTGTCTTAGCTCAGGTATCCTATCATTGGTGATTTCTATTCCACTTGGCCTCAACTGTAGTCCTCTTCCAGTTACATGGCACCTCATCACTTTCCCCCTACACCTTATCATTTTCTCTTTCATAGTTTCCATGTCTCTGTCCTTCTCCTCTATATTTTAGGAGAACTTCCCCAATTCATTCTCCATGTTCTGAATCAGTGTTCTGCAGTACCATTTTTCTTTTCTGCTTCCAGAGTGGATTTTAATTGTGCTGGCTTTTAAGGTTTTTGTGGGTTTTTTTTAGTTCTTTCATCCCCACCTATGTCACTCTTCATGTGTCATCATATGGCCTTTTCAGATTTGTGTAGTCTTCCCTTATGGCTTTCTTCTCCTATTTTATAGAGGATGTGTCTTTTTAGAATTCTTTTAGTCTGCCATACTCATTTGGTGACATATTTCCTATGACTGTTTTCCAGCGATGGCGACAGAATTTGAGGGAGTTGTGATTGAGACCGTATGGCCTACAAAGCCTAAAATATTTACTTTTGGCACTTTGCAACAAGAACAACAACAAAAAATCCACAGATCCTTGTACTAGCATGACAGCTGGATTCCCATTTCACTCCAAGTGGGATGGCAGGGGACTGAATGCAGCTCCATCTCCAGTTCCTCATCCCGGCCAGCTTTCCCCCTCAGTTCACTCCTGCTCTGTACCGCTGGCATTCTCCTGTCTCCTCACTGATGCCGACTCTCTCATTCTCTCATCGATAACTTGGATAAAGATGCAGGTTCAGGTACCTCCTGCAAACACTGTCCTTCCAGTCCCTACACTTCTTAAGCTCTCCCTCCCTGACGGAGGCCACTGTCACCAGGCTCCGCCCACTTCCTGCCCATTTGTTTTCTGGTTGTTGTTTCTCTGTCATTCTCTCCCTCCCACCCCACCTTTTTTTCCTTCCTTCCTTCCTTCCTTCCTTCCTTCCTTCCTTCCTTCCTTCCTTCCTTCCTTCCTTCCTTCCTTCCTTCTTTTCTTTCTTTCTTATCTTTCTGTTCACCAGACAAAGAACTGTGTCCGGAGGTAAAACCTGGACAGGCTTAGCGTGTTCCCCCACCACCTGCCTTTAATTCACAGAGATTGCTCCCAGATTTCAGCATTGGGTCATCCTCTATCGGTTTCATTTCTGGCACCGGTGTGAACTTTCACTTTTCCTCGTTGTCTTTATAGCTATTTTGGAAAGAAACAGGGAGGGGCTACGTGGGTGACAGCCAAGGCGATGCCATTTGAGGGAGTCGGAGCTGTGTCTGCAGGCTGGGCTGTCCATCCTGAACAGCCTCCCCAGCTCAGTGTGCATTTGGTGAAAGAGGAAAAGGCAGGAGCGTGTTCCTTGCCCAGGGACTGCGTGTGTCCACGTCCCGGAGGGTAGTCACGTCACCTGCCGGAGAGCAGGCGTCCCTCACTCCAGCCCCGGTTCCTGTGCTTCACCTACAACCCCACGAGCTGGGTGACTTGGGTTTCCTTAGCTCACACTTAGACTGGAAACTGAGAATATGAAGAGTCGGGGACATTTTACAGCAAGAAGCACACCGGCCTGGCGAGTTTCCGGCCAACTGAAAGGAAAGACATAGGACTCCCCCCACCCCCCCCTCCTCCCGCCTCTCCCCAAACACTCACACACATAAAATTGCACGTTCAGAGAGCCTGTCTCCGTGTCCTGCGGGCAGCCTGAGTGTCACTGTGTGAGTGCCCATCTCCTACACGCACCTGGCTGGCCTTCCCCTGCCCAGCTGGGTGCTCTGTGCAAGTGCTGGGTGCGGGGACTCCATCCCCTCCTCCACCGTTACACCCGATCCAGACAGTGGTTTTGAACCCTGGCTGCCCGTTAGAATCCCCTGGGGACTTTATGGACCTGGACTCTCAGGCGGCCCCCTGTACCAGTGACTTCAGGATGTCTCCGGGGTGGGACTCGGGCATCGGTGTGTTTTTACAGCTTCTGGGTGATTCCACTGCGTGGTCCAGGCTGGGAAGCAGGGGTTGGGAGCACAGACTGCAGCCAGGATCTCCCATCTGTGCCTGGGGCTGATGGACGGGGTAGAGGGCCGTGCCCTGGGCCCCATTAGTGCCGTGTGAGCGGCTGCCATGGCTGAGGCACAGACTGGATAGTTGGGGGTGGCTGTGATTCGTCAATCAGGGTCCGGAGCTCCCACTAACCAGGCAGTGATGGGGGCCACACATCCTAGCACGATTCCTGTCTCAGTGGGTTCCTGGCTCTGAAAAGAGGAGCTGGGAGGGAGAGGTGAGGGGGCGGGAGGAGGTGAGAGCTGGAGGTGCAGGCCTAGGTTGTCCCAGGACACCGCCGCCTGCCCTCCTGCTCCGCAGGGCAGAGCTCACGGGGGGTGGGCACCTGGGGACCTCTGGATCTCCAGTGTCCTGCTCTTTAAGGGGGATTTGGTCCCTGTCTCGCCGGTTGCTGTGAGCCGAATTTGGGGCCGTGCCCCAAGGCTCCCTCTGGACCCGCTGTCGCCTCGGCTGAGACGCAGGACGTGCCGGGCCCTGCAGAGGAGGCAGCGTGCACACTCCCTCCTCAGCAGGAGGCAGCACGAACAGAGGCCGGCGACTTTCCTGAAAAATAAGCGGAAAGCGAGGAGAGCAGGCTCACGCCTGCCCCTGGGGTGACGTCACCCGGCACCACTGACATCCCAGTTCGCCTCCCTAAGCGGGGAGAGCCGGTGGCCCGGCCAGGCACCCGGGGCCACGGGGACTTACGCACAGTGTGAGCATCACCCGGCCCTGCACTGGCAGTGGGGGCTGTCCCGGCGGTGACGGTGCTACTTACCTGGTGCCCAGGCCGCCGTCCCCTCTCGGCTCCCCTCTCTGACTTGGCCATGGTAGAGTGCAGGCCACGACCCAGGCCCTGCACCCCAGCAGGCTCTCCCTGCAGTAGCCAGCCACCGTCCAGCGGCGGGAGGGATGGTCCTGCAGCCTCCGGTGCGCCTGGGCAGGGCATCCCGGGGTGGGGTCCAAGGGCTCAGACCAGGGGAGCTGGCGGGGGGGGGGGGGGGGGCAAGGAAGGGGCTGTTTATTTCTCAATTCCCGAGCTGGTTTCTAACTGGTGCCCCAGGAAGCTGCTCTGGAGGCGTTAGGCAGCTGCCAGCTGGGGCGCTCAGGGCAGGGGGCAGAGCTGTTTCAACTTTGAGGCACCGTGTCCGTGGATCGCAGGCCCCGAGGAAGCCGCAACCTCCGATGGGGCCAGCGGCGCTCTGGGGTGATCTCTGAATGCCCCCTGCGGCCTTCAGCCAGGGGTGGGGGCGTTTGGCACCGGAGGCCCAACCTCATGCTCTGACTCTGTCCTGTGCTCCCAGCCCACATCGCCGCTTTCCCTAACGTGGCCTCGGTTTCCCTGTCTGCACACCGAGGGGCTGTCCGGTCTCTCTCACGTCTGCGTGTGTGTGTCCCCTTCACCTTATTAGTCACCCTCCACCCTCCCGGGACACACACCCAGCCCGCTCCCAGCAGCCCAGGCTGCCATTGCTCCCGGGACAGGGGGCCTCCACCGCCCAGGCTGCCTGGCTGCTCCCGCAGGCGGAACACGGGCCACGCCCTGAGCCCGACACGCACTCCCATGGAGGGACTGCGGTGTTCCCTGAGACCCGGCATGGCGTAAGCACGGGGACGGTCATTCTGACGTCTCAGACTCGGTTCTAGGTCCAGTCGTGGTGCTAGCTGTCTGGGATGCATTGGGCAGGCGGCCTCAGTTTTTGCATCTGCAGAATGGGAATAACCCAGCAGAGAACGTTTGTGAGACTTGGATGGGACCCAGCATGCCGGGCAGTGGGGCAGGGAGGCCGGGATGAGTCACTGGGCCTCTGTGGTGGGCTGGGCGCCAGACGTGGACTGAGGGCAGGAATGGTTCCCCCTCGGCTACAGAGCAGCAGGAGCCTGCAGGGTGAGGGCGCGCTGGGCTGGGGTTGGAGGCCTGCATTGGGTGGTTTGCAGCGGGCCACCCCCAGGAGACGCAGGCCTGGTTTCTGGCCGGGCCCAGGCCCCCCACACCCCGCCTGGCTCGCACTCGGACTGGGAGAGCCCCGAGGTGATCCCCCAGGGCCGAGGCCAGGCCCCCGTCCCAGCAGCGGGGCCCATTAGGGCTGAACTCTCTGGCGGGGGCATTTCATTTGCACACTCCGGCGGAGTGGACACCAAAGGGGCTTTCTCATACTTCACGGGCTGCTAATCTCCCCCGTGACCCCTTTTGTCGGGGCCTGACCCCAGCCAGAGGCTCCACGCCCTGGAAGCCAGCGCCTGACACAGACCCGGGGCGCGGCCACAATGAGGCTTCTGTGGGCTTTAATCAGGCCCCTCTGGCGGCTGAGAGCGGGGTGGGGAGGGGGGGGAGGGGGGGAGGGTGTGGGGAGTGGGTTGTTGTGTGGCGCGTAGAAGCCCTGGGTGGTGCTAAGTGGGAGCGGGGAGGGGGGTTGGGGTCAGGGGAGGGGGGACGGGGGCTGAAGGATTCCTCAGGCTGTGTGTGTTTGGGGGGGGGGGGGCGAGAGGGGGAAGGGGGCCTTTGTCCCAAGCGCCTCTTTAGAGGCCAGGCCTGCCCTGAATGGCCGCGGCCGGCCTGGCCCAGGGGTGTCACATGCCTCTGGGTATCTAGGGGGGTGCCCTCCTCCCCCACTCGCCCGAGGCCCGGTCAGCACCAGCTAATTAGGTTCTGTCTGTGCTCTCCCTCCCTGCAGACTGTGATTCCTACTGCAAGGCCTCCAAGGGGAAGCTGAAGATCAACATGAAGAAGTACTGCAAGAAGGACTATGGTGAGTGAGGGGTGGGGCCAGCGAGGAGTGGGGTCGGGTGCCGGTGACGCAATCCCTGTGCCCGGGCAGGAGGCAGCCGAGCTGGACAGACCCCACCACGCCCAGGACCTCTCGTCCCTTCCCCCTCGGTCCTTGGCGGCGAGGGGCACGAGGCGCACAGGGCGTGAGGACCGGGTTACCCAGCCCTGAGGGCAGCACCTGGGCCGGCGGAGGAGGGGGGGGCTCTGACTGAGGCCTGAGTCTGCTGCTCAAAGGGAGGAGGTCCGTGGGACGTTTGAGATGCCTCCTCCTCAGGGGTTGACCCCAGAAGGCACAGCTGGGGTCGGGCAGGGGAACTGCAGTGTCACTCTGATCCACGGCAGTGGGGGGTGTGAACACGGCCCACGGGAGCCACGGGGCTGCCTGCCTGGGCTCCGCCTGCAGATCCTGTCACCTGAGCCCTCAAGCTCTCTAAGCTGGGAAGGGTCTCCTGCCCCCTCCTCTCATTACACACTGTTCTCCCCCTCCCCCCTCGGGACAGTGAGCCCCCTGCCCCCTTCCCCCTGGAGTCCCCTGTCCGCCTCCTTAAGCATCTGCTGAGTCCTGTGCCCCCCGCCCAGCGGGAGGTGAGGCATCGGCCTTGTGATTCTGAGCGTGTTCTCACTGGCCAGACACCATGTGACACGGGCACAGCCTGCAGGGAGGCCACAGGTTGTGTGCAAAGAGCAGAGGGAATGCAAACGGGAATCCGAGAGAGTCATCCAGCCGTTGCTGCTGGCAGGGCAGGAAACCCCTTGTAGACTGGGCGTCCTCCTGGGCAGCCGAGGGCCTGGTCATCCCCCCCCCCCCTGCCCCGCCCCAGGAAGTAGTAGCACAGCCTAGAGGCAGCCCCGGGGCTGGGAGCCCAGGCCTGGCCCCTTCCCGGGGCCTCCTCCTGACCTGGGGGCTGGGGGCTGAGCCCAGGCTGTCCTTACAGGCCCTGTGCCTCTCACCATGCCTCCCCTGCTCCCCCCACCTCAGCTCCCCCCCTCCCACCTCTCGGCCAGGACAGGGGCAGGAAGGGGAGGACTGGGTGGCCACGTGGGGCAGGATGCGTCCATGTTCGCTTGAAGCGCTCCAAAGTAGACGCTGGGGAGGGGCTGGGACGAGAGAGCTGAGCAGGCTCCCTCCTGGTTCTGTTTTTGGGGTGAAAAAGGAAAACTTGGATTTTTGTTTAAAAGTTGCCAAAACGGAACCCATTACCACCTGGTTCTGTTGGACTCGGTCCTGTTTTGTTCTCTTCTGGCTCTTCGTTCTCAGTGGACGTCTACCTTCGCGCCCACCATGCCCGGGGCACGGCCCCTCCGAGCTCTCCGGGCCTCCTCGCCCACCACCTGGCAGCCCCTCTCTCTGCCCAAGGCGCGCAGTGCCTTCTCGTCATAGACCCGGAGGGTCCCCTGCCGCCCTGCGCCCTCTCCCCTCTGGGGCCTCCCTGGGGCCCGTGCCCTGTCCTGCTGGGACAGGTGGGCACAGCCTCTGGCTTGCACTTGACCTCTGCTCCCTGACTCAGCCCTGGTCTCCCCCTCACACCTGACTCCCAGGGATGATCAGGACGAAGCAGGTCCAGGGGGCAGGCTGCAGTCCCCTGTCGCCCCAGGTGGGACCTGGCCAGCTGGACGCTGACCGGCCAGTGGCTGCTCCTCCCACAGGTCCTTTCCTGGATCCCCCTCTCCTCCCCACATCACGTGTAGCCCCAGGTCCCCGTGCTCACCTTCCCAGACTTCACTGAGACCCCCTTTTCCCCCTGCCCCGTCCCCCACACCCACTGCCAGGAGGGCGTGAGGAGCAGCACACGCAGGAGCTGTTCACTGCTTTAATGCCTCCTACCCATGCCCTTGGCCTCTTACCCCAAGGCCCTCCATTCCCCCAAAACATTGGGGGGAGGTTCTGGCCCCCAGGATTGTCCCTGATACTCTTGGGGTCCCCCACTCAGCTCAGCATTGAGGCAGGACAGAGAAGGACCAGGAAGGAGGTGCGGGGTTTGGGGACGGCTTACAAGAGCTCGCGGGGCAGGGGGAGGTTCGGCGAGGAAGGTGTGGGTGGCAACTGTGGGGTCCAGGCTGGGCCCATGGGCACAGCAGGGGGCAGTCCCCCCCCTCCCCCGGCAGCTGCAGGCCTGGCTCTGAGGCTGGGGCGGATCCTTTTGGGACCCTGGACCCTGAAAGGAGTGTGAATAGGGGTGTCCCTCCCAGGAGCAGACCTGGCCGGCCCGGGATGGATGAGCAGGGAGAGGATGAGGGGGTGCTGGCCTGGGGGTGGGTGAGGCGGTGAGGCCAGAGCAGGCTGGGCAGGGAGGCCAGGGCGGCGGGGTCAGGGGTCGGAGAGGCTGTGCAGTGTCTGCCCTCTGACAGACACCCCCGGGCGAGGAAGCCAATGAGGGAACACGGTTCCTTCACCTACAGACAGGGCCCTGGGGTGTTCCAGGAGCTGCTGATTAGAACTTTGGGCTTGCTTCCCGCCCCCCCCCCCCATCCCCTCTCCTGCCCCCCTGGCTTCCTGGAAGAAGAGCGGCCCCTCAGAGGCCAGCTCAGTGCTGTGTTGGCTGGTGCAGAACCAGGGTCCACTGGCCTGGACAGTGGTCAGTGGGTGTGAGGCCGGGAAGCGGGCCGTGAGGCTGGTGGGGTGTGCAGGTCCCACCCTGTGTTCTCTTGGGCATGTTTGCCCATAAGAGAGCCCGGCCTGGGTAGGGCTGGGGTGGGCACCTGGCAAGGCAGGAGGGCATTGGGGTGGGGAGGTCTCAGGTCCAAGCCCCTCCGTGCTTCTGCCACTCCCCCAGAGACACCGCAGGACAGGGCAAGGCAGGGCAGGTGGCCGGCCCATTCCCTCTACAGGGAAAGGGCGCGGCCCCATCCTGGCGCACAGGTTTGGGGTGCTCGGTGACCCGTCCTCAGTGTCCTCCTCTGTCAGATGGAGGCGTGCCCCGGGCACTGACATCCTCTAGCTGAGCCACCCTGGCCCCACCCCGCCCCGTGCCAGCTCCCGGGCAGGTCCAGGGTGACACGGTCCCTGCAGCCCCTCTCCTGGCCGCCTTGGTCCTCTGATGCCCTCTAGGGGACCCAGCTCACCTTGCACAGGCTTGACGGCGCCCGTGAGGAAGCCGGTTGTTCACGGAAGACAGTTTTATTATTTTCAAGTGTCTCGGCCGTTCCTGGCAGCTTTGCAGGAAGCCCAGCCTGGGAGGCCTGTCCTTGATGCAACATTGCCGCGAGTGTGTGTGTGTGTGTGTGTGTGTGTGTGTGTGTGTGTGTGTGTGTCTGCCGCAGAGTCTGTGCCCTGCGCCCCTGCGGGGGGCGCCGCTCCATGGCACGTGTCTTGCCAGCCAGCGGAGCCGGCGGTGAGAGTGCTGGGTGCACCTTGTTCCCGAGCATCTGTTGTGCAAGGATGCTGGCCAGGCCTGACCACGGGCTGGGCACCTCAACCGGCATGGGGACCCTCCCCCCTGTGCCCCCAGCCGACATGCCATGGAAGGGGCAGAAGAGCATCCTCCTGACGGGCTGTGAGCACCCTCACCCTATCCTGTGGGCCCAGGTCCCTCCGGACTCCTCCCAGGCCCTCCCCTCAGCCTCCCCTTTCTCTTTCCCTTCCGGCCTCTACCTCACCTTGTCCCTGTGCTCCCTGGGGAAGCCCGTGTGGTCCTCTCACCTCACAGAGCCACTCTGCACAGGCGCCCCCCACACACACACGCACACACACACACACAAGCGCGTGCACACATACATACATACATGCACACACAGGCACAGCAGTGCATAACCATAGGAGCCTTGCTCCCTCACACAGCCATCCCCACCCCCAGGCCTTCCCTCCTTTGTGAGAGAGAGAGAGGGCCCAGCTTGGGGGTTGGGTGGGCACCGAGCAAGGGGTTTGGGGTGTGCCCCTGTGCCCCATCCTGCTCTGGGCGCCGAGCTTACAGATGTGGAGGAGACGGGCCTGGTCCCCAAGGAGCTTCCCGCCCAGGAGGGGCACAGACACGCAGCGGAGAATGTAGAAGGTGGATGGGGAGGGCAGCCTGAGGTGGGCACGTGCAGTGACCCCGTCCTCTAAGCAGGGTGGGAGGAGGCCTCCTGGGGAGGGCCAGGGAGAGTAGTGTGGACGTCAGCAGGCATAGCCAGGTCTGTGCCCAGAACCCCTCTGCCACCCCCAATACCCCGGTGCCCCCAGAGCCAGGCCAGCTCCCGCCCACTCCCTCCACCGCTGCCTCGTCCTTCCCCCGGAGGTTCCGACGGAGGGAGACAGACAGCTCGCTCTGAAAGGTGAGGTCATCTCCCTTTTGCCGGTTCTTGGAAAAATTATCCGTTCCCAGAAATGTTTATTAGTCACCCCTTTTGTTGAAAGACGTCTTGGCACTGCCAGATGGAAAAGTCAGAATGCTTCACCAGCGGGTCTGTCTGCTCCTCCGAGAGCCGGGGGCGCTGCCGGGGGCCCTGCTCAGAGGGAGGTCCGTGGGCACCTGGGGGGGAAGCGGGCTCGTTCGTCGGTGCGAGGGCCCGTGTGCTTCAGGGGCCCCTGGCCGAGGTGGGCCTGGGGACCGGGCAGAACCTCCGTTTGTAGCAACGCACCCCGTGTGCCCCTGTACCTCCCGGGCAGTGGAAACCCGAGGGAAGAGCCTGCCAGGCTGGCGCCTGCTCCCTGCCCTGTGGGCCCTGGGCCGGGCACCTCGCCGCCTGGGTCCTCATCCTGTGGCCCCCTCCGGGCTCCAGGAGGCAGGGGTGTATCTGTCAATTGGATATGGAGATGCAACCGGATGAGACAACGTGCCCGAGATCAGGAACCCCACAGCCGAGCCTGTCTCCGTCTGTGCCAGGGCCCGAGCCTGGGGCAGCGCAGAGCGGCACTCAGTTCCTTAGGCGGTGGCCTCCGGGCCCTGGGCTCCCGGCTCCTGGCCTCTGGGGAGGCACAGCGATGGCTTCCCGGGGTCACCGTGCTGTCGAGGTGGCGGTCACAGTGGATGGAGCCGAGGTGACGGGCATCCTGGCTGGGGT